ATAAAAAATTATACAACATAGTCCCTGTTCCCAAAGAGCTTACAATGCTGTTAGAGAAACAAGTCATAGGCATTCTATGTCACACGCCATTTAAATAACAATCCAAATAAAACATACAGGAATGAAGGCAAGGAATGGATGGATGTAAGTACAAGTGGTTGAGAAGGCTTCATAGCCACGGAATCTGAGCCGGGCCCTAAGAAGTTGAATTTTAATAGGCAGAAATTGAGAAGAGCATGAGCAAAGGCCAGAAGATGAGAGAACACGGTGGTCCAGCACTCTGCAAGGAGACTACTCAGGGACACGTGCAGAGGAGACAGGTCATGTCAGTCATACTGAGGAGAGTCTTAAATGCTATTATCCTTACACAATTTAAAGGCATGAAATGTCTGTGAATATAATTAACATATTTAAATATTTTCTTAAGAAACTGTTTTGGAAATAATTAGAGGAGGAGTCAGAACTAGAGGAGAGTAATTTCAGAAAGGATGATGTAGACCAGAGGTTCTCGAAGTGGTCCACAGACCTCCTGGGGGGGGGTCTCTGAGACCCTTTCAGAGGATCTGTGAGGCTGAAACTATTTTCATAATACTACTAAGATGTTATTTTCCTATTTCACTGTGTTGACATTTGCACTGATGGCACAAAAACAATGGTGAATAAAACTGCTGTTGTCAAGCTGTGGAACCAAAGTCTACTAATAGCATTGCATTCTTTTTTTTTTTTTTAAACAGCCTTATGAGGCATAACTGATGTACAATAAACAGTGTATATTTAAAGTGTACAATTTGATGAATTTTTTACATACGTATACACCTGAGAAACCATCACTACAATCAAGATGACATTTTGATCATGTCCAAAAGTTTTCCCATAACCTTTTGTAACCTCTCTCTACCCCCTCATTCTTACATAATCACTGATCTATTTTCTGTCACTATACATTTGTTTGCAAGTTCTACAATTTTATATAAATGGAAGCATATAGCAAGTACTCCTTCTTCATGCTAACACTAACCAAAGGCAAACTAAACAAAGCAGACTTTGGACAAAGTAGACATCAGAACAAGGAAGAACTCAGGAAAGAGAGGATCATCACATCTTGATAAAATATCAATCCATTAAGAGGACATAATAATCCTAAATGTGTATGACCCTAAACTGTTACCAGCTGCAAAACAAAAACTGACTAACCTAAACTGAAAAAGAAATAAATATGCAATTATAGTTGAGAAATTTTAATACCTGTCTCTACATAATGGGTAAAACAAGTGTACGTAAAATCAGTAGGGATACAGGGGACATGAACAATCAACTTAATTGACATTTATAAAAGACAAAAACAGCAGAATACACATTATTTTCAAGTGCCCAAGCTATCAAGATTGACTATATTCTGGGCTATAAAACAATAAATTTAAAAGAACTGAAATCATACAAAGTATGTTCTCTGAACACAATAGAATTAGAAATCAGTAACAGAAAGACAGCTCGAAAATCCCCAAATATGTGCAAACTAAACATTATACTTCTAAGTAAACCATAAGTCAATGGAAAAATCGCAAGGGAAATCACAAGAAAATATTTTGAATAGAATAAAAATTATCTTGGAAACTTGTATCTTGAAACTCATCAGCTAGAAAGCTTCCTAAAACTTAAAAGACTTTTCTGATGAGAATGGTGATGCTATTAACAAATGTCACTTTTTTTATAATAAAGTATACAAAGATGCATCAACATTTCAAAGATCTATATAGCTTAGGAAACCAGTATTTTCCAAATGGCCAATGAAAAGTATTACAAAAGATCCATTCCATGCAAGATAGACCAATGGATTTTACTGAAAGACTAGGAAGGGTTCATTGATCACGGATTCAGATTCTTTTTTTTTTTTTTTTCTTTTTTTTGGTGGGGGTACGCGGGCCTCTCACTGTTGTGGCCTCTCCCGTTGCGGAGCACAGGCTCCGGACGCGCAGGCTCAGCGGCCACGGCTCACGGGCCCAGCCGCTCCGCGGCATGTGGGATCTTCCCGGACCGGGGCACGAACCCGTGTCCCCTGCATCGGCAGGCGGACTCTCAACCACTGCGCCACCAGGGAAGCCCATGGGTTCCGATTCTTGATTGCAACAAACGAACGTTTAAGAGACTACTCATTAGTGGTAGAAACAACCCAAATTTGGTGGAGTATCAAAAAAATCCACAATTATCTAAAAAGGTTGCCAAATGCTCCTCTCTTTTTCAGCTGCACGTGTGTAAAGCAAGATATTCTTCGTATACTTAAAACAAACCAAAAATCGCAAGACTGAATGAAGCAGGCAGAAGAAACAAGCTGTCTTCTATTAAGCCAGACACTAAAGAGCCAACTATGTAAAACAATGCCACTACTCTCATAACATTAAAAAGAAATTTGGAATATAATTACTTTCATAAAAATGTCACTTAAATTCACATACAATGAGTTTATTCTAAATAAACATTTAAAAAATTATCAGTTTTCATGTTTAACTACCCACCGTTTTATGACAGACGGAAGAAGGCTTGAAACAATAAGTAGTAAGATTTAGTGACTGAATCAATTATAGTGGTAAAAGTAAAACAACTTAGGCACCTTTGATGTAAGATCACTTCATGCTCAGAAAACCTTGAGATAAAAAAATGATATAATCTTAATGGACTTGGTTGTTCATAGCAGATTTGCCTGTTCTAATCTAGAGAATTAATCACCGTAATGTGAGCTGAAGAAAACTCATTAACTAAAACTATCATATTTTATAAGGGCTAAATTAGAATTCCAGCACATTACCAAAAGGCTGCCTTTTATACCCACACTTAATAAATGGGACACGTTTCTGCACAGTGCTACCATGCCTGGGCTGAAACAGAACAACTGATGGGGTCAGATTAGAGATTCACCCAAGGCAGAGTGAGCCTAGATCCAGCACAGACAGAAGTCCTTCATCCCAGCTGGGTAGTCCTCACAGGACTGAACGTATCCAGACCCCCTGCAGGCATATAGTGCAGTAGTTAAAGCTTGTGGAGGCAGACTGCTTAGTTTATTCTTTTCTTAGTTGTATAATTTCAGAAAAGGTTTAACTTAATCTCTTGGCGCCTCACTTTTCTTTTTTTTTATAAATTTATTTATTTGTTTGTTTGTTTATTTATGGCTGCGTTGGGTCTTTTTGCTGCCCGCAGGCTTTCTCTAGTTGCTGCAAGCAGGGGTTACTCTTCGTTGCAGTGCATGGGCTTCTCATTGCAGTGGCTTCGCTTGTTGCGGAGCACGGGCTCTAGGCACACGGTCTTCAGTAGTTGTGGCTCGTTGTGGCTCGAGGGCTCTAGAGCACAGGCTCAGTAGTTGTGGCGCACGGGCTTAGTTGCTCCATGGCATGTGGGATCTTCCCAGACCAGGGCTCAAACCCGCGTCCCATGCATTGGCAGGCGGATTCTTAACCACTGTGTCACCAGGGAAGCCCTCATTTTTCTTAAAATAGGGATAATTATTAAATCATAGGGTTACTGTGGGGATTATAAAGGTAAAGCACTTAGAAAAGCACCAAGTATGAGTACTTGATAAATATTACTATTACAGTGTTTTACCTGAAATATGGAGTAATAAACTACTAGTCTAATATACAGGGTTGGTTAGGGTATGAGAAATATTAATAAGATACTCTAAAAGTTAACTATGATATCTAAAAGGTCTAGGATTAAAGATCCATAGAGTAATCACAATTAAGGTTATTAAAAAAATTACCTCAAAGTTATCATTTAAAAATGAGTAAATAATAGATTGGTATAGACTTCGGATTCAGAAAACATCTACTGAATGTTTTCAAAACCAATGCATTTCTTTTACTGTTGTGAGAAAAAAAAAGTATCCTCAACTAACAATTATGGGGCAAGTGATGTGTTTTTCCTTTTTTACAAAAACCAAAATTTAAGTAAAACATTAAAAAATTTAATAAAGGAAAGATACAAAGTATTGATAGCTGTATGATAATATTATAACTATGAAAGCACCAGCATCCAAACCTTCACTCAAAGTGAAAAAGAAAAAATATAAGCTGAATGGAAAATGACTCAAGAGTCCAAGGACAATCAGCCTGTATGAGAGGAAAGACCAGAGGGAGAGTGGTGGTGACAGGCAGGGGAAGAGCAGGTGGGTGAACAGCCTCCTGTGATGGCAAAATATATCCCGTAGGGGCAGGATGAAGGACTCTAGAACCTTGACCTGACGCTGGGCAAGGCAGAGTCATTCAAACAGCTTTCTGGGACTACTCCCATTGCTGGCCGATGCCTAAGACACACAGAAACCAGAGCAGGAAGTCTGCAAAATCACCCCACAAACTGAACTGGCAGTTTGAGGCAGAAAACACTTTGAAAAGAGGATATGGTAGTCTGCAAACTGCCGTCAGTTATGTCAACGCGTGGCAAAGAACTTCCACGTTCTTACTTCTGCAAGCACCCCCATCCTTCTGCAGGACTTCTACAGTCAAACACTGGGAGCCCAGCACTCTCTGCTTCAGGCCATAAACCTGTACTAAACACCCCAGAGCAGAGAGAGACGGCAGCAGCAGCCCGGAAGGCGTCTAGGATTCTAGGAATGCTTGAATGCTTCTTCATGTAATCAGCTTTGTACCTCCATCTGCCTCACTGACAGAACAAGGACTTAGATGTAGGTCAGGAGGAAAGGAAGTTGTACACACAGTCTATGTTTCTGATATACTCCAAATCAGCTCAGGTGCTGTTTAAAGGCAAAGGAGAGAGTGTGCAGGAAGTCTGGTGACTAGGAAAATAAGAAGAAGGCTGCTCATCGTTGTAGGCCAAACATTATACTTCCTTTGAGCAAATCTCTGGGCTTGAGTAAATAGGATAGTCAAGACTCACGGTGACTAGTTTTCAGAGAAAAAGACAGTGAGGAAAAAAGTACCACGGAGATTCTAATTTGTGATCTTTTCTCAAGAACAAGTTATACTATGATTAAAAGAAATGTACTGACTTACCTGGAAAATATCTGTCTTGTCTTCAAATAAACTGACAAAATATTTATAGTCAGCATAAGCCCAGAATTTGGAATGATCATAGTCTCTAAATGGTCCAGAAATACTAGATCGGTCACAGTTCCAGGTCAGAAACTCTTCAAGTGTAGCTTCTACGTAACTACATGTGGTTTCAAACTGAGGAGCTGCAATGTAAGAGAACCCAACTTTAAATGTACATTGAACACAGTTTCCAAATATTGTTGTTTTCTTAAATGAGGATAATTTCAACCAGGAAGTATTAACTATTATTTAACATTAATTAGAAATTAATTATGTACTTGCTAAATAATTAGAACCATTTACAACACTTAACAATACTCTTGATTAAATTTAAAATTAAAAAACACAATTTTAACCTTAAGATTAAAGACTACCCTTTCTATAGCCTGATGCAGTAATCCAGTGGAATACTTTAGTTTATCACTTCTCCAAGACCTTTTCAGGGGTCTGTGAGGTCTAAACTATTTTCATAATAATACTACGACAGTATTTGCCCTTTTCACATTTATTCTCTCACAAAAGTACGGTGTTTTCCATGGGCTACACAAATTGTGTTGACGTCACTGCTCCAACAGCTAGTGGACTATGTGCTTATGTTCTTATAGTTTTAAATGTCTGTAAATAAAGAGGAACAAAGAGCGTTGCTCACCAAACAGTTCTACAAGGATTAAGTCATAACCCACTGCAGTCACTGACCAACCAGTGCACTCTCAGAGGAAATTAAGACATAACAGGATGAAGCACTCTGTGCTTCAGACAGAGGAAATTAAGACCATAACAGCATGCTCTGTGCTTTGGACAAGCAAGCCTCTTAGTGAGATGTATATCTCGGGAAGAACTTCAATGACCCCAGATTCTTGCATCTTCCTAAAGAAAAGCACTAAAATCATTAACTGTAGATATTTGTTATTTGTGACTAGCAGTAATCTTTTACCAAGATGTCTGCTTGACTGCACACGTTCCCTAGCCAAAAATCATATGTATACAGGCTTCTTCCCTACCCTTCAGAGAAGTTTTCTCAGAGCTCCTGAGAGGCTATCTCCTGTGCTATAGTCCTTTAAGACCCTGAATAAAACTTAAACTCACAGCTCTTACATTGAGCATTTTTCTTTAAGTAGACATGTCTTGGTTTTAATTTCTAATAATGCTAAGTATCACTAGATATAACCCACGTTGACAAAAAAGCTCACTCACTGGGGTACTCAATCGTTTTTAAGTCTAAAGGAATCCTGAGACCAAAATGTTTGAGAACTACTTCTTCAAATAAAAAAAAGGCAACAACAAAAAATTGTCTTTTGAAAATTTTCAACTTTATACTGCACATTTATCATACAGAGCTCCTCAATCATTAAGTAGACAACAGCTATTTAAAGTCTGTTCAATTATTCATTAGCCCATTTATTTCAGAATCATGTATTAAGTACCTAATTTGTAACTAGCATTGGGCTCAGGCTTGCAGGAACATAAAAGAAATAGATAATACTCTAGAGTTTAGACTATATTTAGATAAAAAGAAAACTTCAACCAGAATAATAGGGAATTTGAGGTATCATATAACTAGATCCCAAATTTTGTGCCATAGACACCTAGGAAAAGGCAAAGACCACCGGAGATGAGGGCTGATCAGGAAAGCTTGAAGAAAAGTCTACTGTCTGTCCATAGTGGTTTGTTATTATGGGTAGAACTCATTTATACAAGAATTATTCTCCTAAATAGTGATGAAATGAGATTTTTTTGCAATTAGCTGAATACTTTAAATGTACATTGGGATGTTAATATTCAAGAAACCTGATTATGATCTATTTTGGAAAACATGAAATCCTTTCAAGAGGAGATGTAGCTCTAACACATGTAAATCAGTCAGCACAATGCTAGACACATAGCAGATGCTCAGTAAAAGTTAGACACTATTATTAGTACTTTTTATTATTCATTCATATATTTACTTGGGGCACTTTAAAAGTTAGCTGAATTGGTAGTAGGAAGAAAAGGATATTCAAACATCTTTTCCATCCATTTCTGCTCAAACTGTTTAGGATTATCCCAATCACGTTTCTCCCTCCTCTCTTTATCCTAAAACCTTATAATGGCAGAGAAATAATGGAGGGGAGGGTGTGTGTCACCCTTATTTCATTTACTTCATCAACTTGTCACCTGACTTTAAGAAGCAGGAAAACTTTACTAGGCTACATTTATCTAAAAGATAAAACCCTGCAGATTTAAGAACTATTTAAACTTGATAATTTTTGAGAAGCATTTAGAATAGTGGCTGGCACACACTGACCCATCAATATATAAAAGCTCTTAATATTATCAACATCATCATCAAGAATTTACCATAACAGCATTGGAATACATGTTTTTTTTAACAAACAAAAACCCATATAGCAAGAAAGCTGCTTGGTGATGGAATCATTTCTAAATCATTTCAGTAAGCTCCAATGTGAGCCTGAACACATTCTACTGTCCTGTAAGTTTTCACTCCACAGAATTCAATCCAACTGATCCAACGGAATACTAAAGCCATTGCTTGAGCCACCTGCCCTTAGGGTAGACTGAGGACTTTTCAGTTATGACCAGTTTTCACAGGCACATCCGTACTGCACCCTCATCAGAAGACTTCATTTTCTATCACAGCAAGTTCTGTACTTAAAAGAATGAAAATCTAAAAATGCAAAAAACTACACGTGAGAACTGTTACTGTCAGGGGAAAATTACAATGAATGGAATGAATGAAAATGACAGACTTTTTCATTTACATAGTGATTTCAAAATAGAATCTTTTCACCCGTTTCTGGTAATAATGGCACCAAAGGCACTGTTTTCATTCTGTTATCATGACAATTTCTTTCTGTGCAGTACAGTTGTTTTTCTTAGTTTATTCTATGCAATGGAATTACTCCTTTCTAACTTGATTATTATTGTTCTTTCGTTTAACATTAAAGTAGCCTAGGCAGCTGCAACTTTCATCCTACTTACTGTCAAAATGTTAGGCAAGAGGAAGCTCAGCTGAGTTTAGGATTTGGAAATAGTGTATAAATTGAGTTTGCTTTTGACTCTCATAAAAGGGAGTCCTAAAATATTTTTTTGCACAGCAGTGAAACAAACATTTCTCCATTTTGTTAGACTTCATCACTTCACAATCAAGAAACACTTGGAATGTGGGTACCGACTATGACTTTTGCTTGTTACTCCACTCCCTATCAACAAATGTTTAGGATTATTTCTACATCTGCTTGCCAGATCACTGCCAGCTGAGGTATAGTGTTGTCACTGAGAATATATGTTGGCAAATGAATCTGATCCAAAATGTTTCAAAGAGCTACTGTGACGTCATTATCTGCTTCCTAAAATAAACTAAGAAACACATTACAGTCAAATATGCTAGTTATTAATACTATTATTTCAAGCATTCTAGAAAAATTCTAACTAAGACCTAAAACAGAAATATATATGCTCAATAGAAAGGAAACAAAGTTATCATTGCTTGTAAGATCATATGCCTGTCTTACTAAAAAGCCCACAAGAATAAACTAAAACACTAGGTACACTATTAACTGGCTGGATAAAAAATAAACATGCAAAAAATAAATGGCTTTTATTTGTATATCAATCACAGTTTGAAAAACAAAAGAGGCAAAAATATTTCCTGACAGCTACAAAAATTTTATAATATTTTAAGAAATTTGTAGACTTATATGAAAACTCCAAATCTTTTCTTTTCCCCCAAACCTTTTTACTGAGGTAAAACAAACTAGGTAAGTGAAGATTACACATTCTTGTGTAGTAAGATACAGTATTGTCACAAGGCAGATTCTTTTCAAATTACATAATTTATAGCACTTCGTGAATTTTCATTTAAAATCCTGTTGACTGAAAGAAAAAAAGAAAAACACATGACCTAAAAGTTGCAGGTTATGTTTTATTCGGGTATCTTACTGAGGACTATAATCTGGGAGATGGCCTCTCAGATGCTCTGAGGAACTGTTCTAAAGAGGTAAGGGAGGGCTTCCCTGGTGGCGCAGTGGTTGAGAGTCCACCTGCCGATGCAGGGGACACGGGTTCGTGCCCTGGTCCGGGAAGATTCCCACATGCTGCGGAGCGGCTGGGCCTGTGAGCCATGGCTGCTGAGCCTGCGCTCCGCAGCGGGAGAGGCCACAACAGTGAGAGGCCCGCGTACCGCAAAAACAAAACAAAACAAACTGTCTCTGGTTTCGGTATGAAGAATGGCTGAGGCGGGAGGGCAGGGAGTGCACAGGGACTAGGGACAAGGCTACTCCAACCACAGAGGTGAGAGAGCAGGGTAACCCCAACTGGAGGATGGCCTCGGACAGAGAAGCAGGTGGATGCTGGATACTTCAGGTGTAAGTCACCAAGTCACCAGACACCACTTAGAGAGGCCATCTGAATGACTCAGAGCTTTCTGGCATAAGAAGCTTCTTGGATAGTACTGCTCCTGGTGATAATGTTCACACCCTTTGACCCAGTCATTCTCCTAGGAATCTATCCTAGGGAAACAATCAGAAACTTGCACAAGATTTATTTTCAAACATGTTCAGTACAGTCTTATTTATAAATTTAAAACTGCTAAGCAATCTAAGCAAAATAGGAGAATTTTAAAAATAAATTATGGTACTACCATACAATGGAATATTAGGTAGCCATTTAAAAGTCATATTTAATGTCAAGAGAAGCTGCTCGGAATATGTTAAGTAAAAAAAAGAGAAAACGCAGGCTGTTCAAATTAACACAATTTTATTTTTAAAATACAGAAAGGCCTGCATGGACATATATCAAAATGTAATTAGTGATTGCCTCTTGGTAATAAGACTAAGTGTTTTTAAATTTCTTTGGGTCTTCCCATTTTTCCAGTGTTCTCTAAAATGAGAAGGTATATTTTAATTTTTGAAATTATTTCTATTTTTAAATAATATTTTTTGAGCATTTACTATGTGCTAGGCACTGTTCTAAATGTTTAATGAATATGAACCCATCTAATCTTGAAAACATTTCATAAGATACAGAAAAGTTAAGTGATTTGCTCAAAGTCACAGAGTAAGCCAAACTTTGAACCCCCGCAAGCTGACTTGAGTCAGCTCTCTTACATCACTACCCTACACTGCTTGTGGAAGTACTGTATTTATACTCAAAAAATAACTTTAAAAAGAACAAATTATTAAGACAACCCACATAATGGGAGAAAATATTTGCACATCATATATCTGATAAGAGTTAGTATCCAGAATATATGAAGATCTCTTTTACCACTCAACAACAAAAAGGCAAAAAAAACCACAAAAAAACACACATAAAAACAAAAAAATCTCAATTAGAAAACAAGCAAAGGATTTGAATAGACATTTCTCCAAATTAGATATACAAATGGTCAATAAGCCCATAAAAAGATGCTTGACAACATTAGTCATTTGGGAAATGCATCAAAACTATAATGAGATAATACTTCACACTCACTAGGATGGCTAGAATAAAAAATGGAATAAGTATCGGCAAAGATGTAGAGAAACTGGATCCCTCACACGCTGGGGTGGGAATGTGAAATGGTTCAGCTGTTTTGGGCAACAGTTTGGCAGTTCCTCAAAAGGTTAAACATAGTTGCTGCATGACTCGGCAATTACACTTCTAGGTTTAACCCAAGAGAAGTGAAACCATATGTCCACACAAAAACGTGTATCTAAATGTTCACAGTAGCATTATTCATAATAGCCAAAATGTGGAAATAACCCAAACGTCCATCAACTGATGAATGGATAAACATTTTGTTTATCCATATGATGGAATATTATTCAGCAATAAAAAGAAAATATAGATACATGCTAAAACATGGGTAAATCTTGAAAACATGATACGTGACAAAAGCTAGACACAAAAGGCCACAACTGTATGATTCCATTTATATATATCCAGAATAGGCAATCTATAAAAACTGAAAGTAGATTAGTGATTGCCAGGGGCTGGAGAAGGGGGTGAATGGGGAGTGACTGCTAATGGGAACCAGATTTTTCAGTGTGACGAAAATGTTCTGGAATTAGATAGTGGTTGTGGTTGCACAACATTGTGAAGATGCTAAAACCACTGAATTGTATACTTTCAAATGGTGAATTTTATGTGAATATCATCTGAATTTTAAAAAAGAACAAATTATCTTTAGTAAAAACTCAGAGCAGTTTCTTTCAATTGCAGAGACTTTCTACTTCCCTTTTTCTTCTATGCTGCAGTACTAACTTTAAAATGTCAAATTACTGTATCTCCGCTATAAAACAGGATAATAATAGTACCACTCCAAGTGGGTTTGAAGAAGATTAAGAGAGTTAATGTGTATAAAGCCCTCAGAACAGTGCCTGACACAATAGTTCTCAATAGCTCTTAGTAATAGTATTGTATTTGGAGTCTAACCAGGAGGTGAAAAAAATCACAATTTCTATTTTTCTTCAAATTATTGTTTAACAGACACTTCAATGAGTGGAAAATTTATCTGACTAAATAAAATCAAGAAGAAAAGAGCACAAGCTGATTTTTACATAGCTGCTGCTGGTCTAGCATTTAATTTAAAAATACAATAAACATTTTGGTCTGTGACTAGAATGAGATGCCAAAGAGTTTCAGGTCTATTAATCCTGCTCTACCTGTCATTGGAGTACAAAGGGGTTCCAGACACCAAAAACCCAATAATTATATGAGATATACTAGAAGATCAACATGAGAAAACAAAGCCTGGAGGAGCTGGAAGAGAAACTGGGTAATTTTCTAGTTCCTTCTGAGTTATTAACAGATATTCTTAGAGCCACTTCACAGCAATGCTTAAGACACTATGAATTTCTAGACTATCAAATTTACCCATATTTAAATAGAAGTTAAACACATATTCTGAAGCCAGACAGTGGTCATGGACTTCTTTAGATTAGAAAGTTTCTAATGTAAATTGTTTCTTTCCTATAAACTAACTGTCTTTAGATTAACAGTAATTGCTTTATCTGGCTTAAGGCAAAAAATCAAACTGTTACAAGTCTTCAGGGAAGAAGAGGGAGCTGGCAAAATCAAACTGCTTAAGAGGATGAAAAAAACAGCTTCACATATGTTTCACATTTATGTAATGCAACAGAGGTCAGGCAGCTGATAAAGCAGAGAGGTAAAATTACACCCAGACTGAGCACTATAAATAGTGAGTGAGGCGACAAATAAAAGGAAACATTGTACATGAGTCAAAAGTAGAAGGGATTGTTAGATTAGTATTGGTCTCTTTCAATCACATAAATAATAGCACATTAACAAATATTTATTAAGTGTCTACTATGATCAATGAACCATGATACATGAACAAATACATTTTATGTGGGGTTATAAATTATAGGTTGTTTAGTCTAAAAAAATTATCTTAAACTGTCCTTTTAAAATTTCTAATGAAGTTTTCCTATCTGAAAATGGTCCAAAAGAGGATTCAAATAAAGGATTCTCTAGAGATAAAGAAACCACGGTTGAGAATGTGGGAATGCTACTGAAGAGACATTATGATGATGATTCCTTGTAGTCCTACCTGTATCTGTGCGTTTCGTTCCCATCCTGAATCGTATCTGCTTGCCCTGAAGGACCTCAGAAAGATGTTTTGCAGTCCAGTGTTGGGCTGGCCAATCAAAAACCATGTTACAGAAGATTGCAGGTTGTTGTAAAGACATTATAATTTCTTTCGCTTTCTCTGGTGTAAAAGGTTTGACATGTTTACCTAGGGAGAGAAATAAATAACTAAAAAGTTATTTCATATAATATGAAGAATAAATAGCTAATATCATTTCTATTATGGCAAATCTTTCTGTGTAATTGCACTTCATTTATTACTGTTTACATAAATATTTGGCCTCAAAGAGCCATAATTCTTCAACGATTTTTCTCAAATATTAAATTGTAAATGTTGGAAAATATTTACAATCTTCAATGTCAAAAATGTTTTTTTAAAAAGGCTTTCCAAGTATTTATGTACATTTAAAAGATGCAATTTTTTGACAATATTATTTCCTAAATAGAGAATTATGTAAGAAATGCTGATGGAACCTACTCTTGAACAACTAGTGTTGCTGGACTCAGCAACAATTCTACTTGATATAGCACATGTTCATGCCAAAAAGACTACCGCATTCACACAGCAGTGGATGGGGAGCGGGAGAGGGGCTTTATTGCAAGATTTAAAAAGATAAAATATGTGCTAGGGTGGATATCAGTGTTAATCCTTGATTCTGACTGCATCTATAAACTGTACAAGGGAATATGCACAAACTAACACTGTGACTTACTGAGGACTTCAATAAATTTCAATCATAGAATGTTAATCCGGGATAGGAGGGTAAAGATTAATATTTGTTAAATAAAAGAACAAGTGGGGACTTCCCTGGTGGCGCAGTGGTTAAGAATCCGCCTGCCAATGCAGAGGGTACAGGTTCGGGCCCTGGTCTGGGAAGATTCCACATGCCACGGAGAAACTAAGCCCACAGTAGTGCGCCACAACTATTGAGCCTGCGCGCCTAGAGCCCGAGCTCTGAAACAAGAGAAGCCACCGTGGTGAGAAGCCCGTGCACCAGAACGATGAGTAACCCCCTCTAGGTGCAACTAGAGAGAGCCTGCGCGCAGCAACGAAGACCCAACGCAGCCAAAAATAAATAAATAAATTTATAAATATATATATTAAAAAAAAATTAAAGAACAATAAGTTTCTCTCTAAAGACATCTCAAGATGAAAGTTTGGGGGAAAGTTGAAAAATGCTTCATACTCTGATCCCCAAAACATGAATTTATGATTCTCTAGTACAATCAGCGAAACCCTCTATTTCAGTTACCTAATCTGTAATTACACTTACTCAAAAAATTGCGAAAAGCTCATGAATAATCCAAATTCCCCCTTCAACCAACCTTCTTCTAAACTTTCTGACAAAAGGAGGAGGGATGGAGAAGGACTCATCGAGGAACCTGAGTAATTTGTAGTTGTCTGAATGTGAGGCTTGTTTTTAAAGAAAATGAAAATTTAGGTCAGTTTGGCCCTCCTTTCTCAGACAAGGACAAAACCCAGAAACCTCTCCTAAACCAGTGGTGAAAGCGAGCAGGCTCTAAGCCCTCAGGAGCTGACATCTAAGAATACCGTGGCCCCTTCTGGGTAGTCAGGGCTCTCATGTGAGGACATCAGTGTGGGTGCTTCAGGGGATGGGCAGGTGCCAGAGGTGGGGCTACGTGGAGTAGGGAAGACAGAAGGCACTCTTAGGTCTCTATGTAAAAGAAGGCCCAAGTTTATCTTTAAGTGACCTTTACCTACTGAAGAGCCCTGTTAAGGAAAACAGGCTGTAACCAGGAATTGTTTAAAAAAGGTCTTAAGCCATGCCAGCCTATAAATGTAAGCACAGGGGTACCTAGATTGCAATGTACCAAGTCTTCCTGGACTTGGAGTGCCTGGATTCCCTGTGTATGAAAATGGACAAGCCACATTTTTTATTATATATTTTTAAAGTTTTGCTAGACCATGAAAAGCTACAATTCATTCATGATAATACCTGTTGCTTGTGACATATAAATTAGTACTACCCTTTGGGAAACAACTGGGAAAATGAAGCAAAAGTCTCAAAGAACCACCCATTAACCTAATAACTCATGTTAGAGGAATTTGCTTTTAACAAAATAATCATAAGCCACATACGTATTCATTTATACTATATATATGTACACACATATGCATAAAATATCTATTACTATAATAAAAAACCTGAAAATACAAACAACCAAATGTCTCAAAAGTAGAAAAATAATTTACTAAATATTTCTCCCATAGTACAGTCCCCTGGTACATTCAATTCATTAACAATAAAAATGAGGGCTCTGTAGCAATGTGTGGAGCTGTAGGGACTGGAACTGACTCAGAGAGTTATTGCAACAGCTAAGTGAGAGGAGTGGTAATAAGGCCCTGAACAACAAAGGGTGGCAGTGAGGAAGGCAGAGATGGTAGAGATGGAGAAATACTAGGAGAACAACATCAAAGACTATTATGACTCAAGAGATGTGGGGTAGGAGGCAGATGCAGCTGTAAGGAAGACTGAGGTTTCCAGACTTTGTGACTTGCCACGAGAGAAAGGTTAGGAGTGACATCTCCTTCTGTTAGGAAGATGAGAGTTTGGTTTTAATCATCATCATCATAACAATACCATATATTTACTTGTATAAGGCTCTACTATTTGCCACACACTTTTATATACATTAAAATAAAAGTGCTCATTGGATCCTCTAAGAAGCCTGTAAAACACAGGTACAGAAGGTATTTTATTTCCATTATCCAAATGAAGAAATGGAAGTTCAGATGTCAAAGGTCAAAACACCAGTGATGATAGGACTATAGGTCAGGTTCCCTGATTCCAAGTCCAATGCTCTTCCTACTGCATAATCCTGCTTCCAGAGAATTAAAACTGTAGGACTTACACTAGCACTAAAAACAGAGAGACAGTATAACCCAAAAAGATAAGCTGGTGCAGGCAGGCTTTAGATGGATCCATAGATAATAAATCCACATGTGCTGTTGGGGAGAGAGGAATGTTCTGGTTTGCGCACATGTTTGTATGTGTGGTGGGGGGAGTAGTTAATACCTATAGTAGAGATTGCTAGTTGCCTACCTTACCCACTACTGCTTCCTTCTTCCTCACTAACAGAACTTTGGGCAATGGGAGCGGCTGAAAAATTACATTTCCCAGATTCCTTTGCAGATAGGAGTGGCCAGATATATATCTGGAAGTTGCTGAGTCAGCCTTTCCCCCTTATCCTCCTCTCCTATATCCTGCCTGGAAAACAGACATCATGTTTAACCATCTCAACAGATAAAAGAAAGGCCCAGGAAATTGAAAACACTGGCTGAAAGAATGCAAAGATGTCCATCTTTGTGCCCCGGAACCAAAGCCAGCAAAATTGTATCCGCTGAACGCTTTCATATAAACACATTAACTCATAGTCAGGACTCTGTTATTAGTACATAACTGGTATAGCACCTTGCCTTCTGAGGCTATGGTTTTCAAGGACAACCACATTCTCCCTAGAGAGTGCTCTGTGGCTTAGGCTGGATGAATCATGGCTGGTGTGACTCACTGTAACATTCTTTCAGTTCTACGTTTGTAAAATGTTCAAGCTTTGAACATTTTGCTTCTAGAACTTTAAAAGGCAGAGAAAAACAGAAGCACCAGTCCTTTGGGGGTGACGATTTATTTATGCTGCTTATCTTAAATCAGAGCCAATAGATCACACGGCTTTGAATGTTTTCAAAACAGTTCTCGTATTTGTACACCTAAGTATGCGGGCATTAGTAACACGAGTAGTGTTTTGACAGAGGAGCTTCAAAGAAGTAAATAAATATTTTTTCCTCTAACATAACATTAAATTTTCTAAAAAAGTATTTAATGATCTGATCAAAAAATGCCAAACATCCCAAAGGTTATTTAATAGGAGACCCTAAAAACTAAAGTTTGCTGAGAAAGTACCAGGCCCAGTGATTGGAATATATTAAAAGCTCAAACATTTGCTAAATGAATGAAAAGGGCTATAAAGCATATGCAGAGTAGATCAGTATGATGCTCACCATAATAGGAAATTCACATATTTGAAGAATTTCAGGTCTATCAGTGAAATAAAACAATCAGCTGGTTGTGAGATAAAAGTAATCTGGGTTCTGATCGTTTAATCAACAATGAACTGGGCTATTAACAAATTTAAGTGTTACAACTTTCTTTAAAGAAGAATACAATCTACACTGTATTAATTAAATAGCCTAGGGATGCACCCAGTCATTCCATGCCAGGGATATTTGCAAAGAGCTATAAAAATTCTGAAGCAACCTCAAAAGCCTTTAAAGAATAAATGTATTTAGGTCTAAACTTGCAGCAAGTAGCAATTTCTAACAGAAACTGCTGGAAAAAATGATTAGTGATCTAGGTGTTGCACAATAGTCTCTTCTCCCTCTAAATGTAGCATGTTATTCAGATGATTGATTACAGCTTTGGTAACAATTCTTTGGAGATGGTGAAACACCATCAAAAAGCAATTTACTTTTTTCTCAGTTAATTTTTTCTCTAATTAGTGCAAAGGACAAGATAATTTGAAACCTAATTTCTCTGAATTTGCTAGCAATCTGGCTTCAGTCAATTAACATCTGGTTTGGATTTGTATCTGAGATTTAGAATTTAAGACAAGAAATATCAAGTTTCCAGAATACGCTCCTAATATTGATAGAATACAACAAAGACAAAGATCCTGAAATTGAAATTAACTCGCTTCTCATGTCAGGTAAAATTTTAATAATATTAATTTTAAATTTAATAGTTTTATATTTTATTAAAAAATTTTCAGAAGGTGACATCAGAGTAAGCCTCAAGTTACAATGCAGAGACTCACCACAGTGATACAGTATGAACAAAAAATTGGGTCCTAGCATTGGGAGCTAATTTATTTCTAAATATATACAGGTAAGCCTATGATGGCCTTCATCAATCTGATGACTACTGTATATATACACAAGGGTCATCTACCATCTGGAATGGTAGATATCAGCGTAAAAAATAATGAACATTTAGACCAGGTCAGAAAAACGCTGATGGAATTATGCAAGTACTACTTAACAAAATGACTGTGTTCAGACTGAAGACCGAATGGTAAAACTTACACCAAAGATGATTTTAATTTTATACTCACTATTTTAAAATGTCAATACGA